TTCACCAAATCCTTTAAGGTACAACACGGCACATCAGCTTGTTAAATGTAATTAGAATGGGTTACACCTAAAGAGTTTTGACAGTGCAGAATGAATTGGTTTTTGTTCCGGATTTAGTTGTTGGTGCTGTCAACGACTACCTGCATTCAAAGTCACTTCGAACGTCATGGTCTGTAGTCATCGTTTTGAGAATCCTGAGAATAAGCATTATCTGACGTCACAAAACATAAGTGTGAAGGTCTTTCTAAAGGAGTTTTGTACTCTATCTACTTGGCCTCCATATGAAACCGTTTCTGACCTTGTGTCTGGGTTTGTTTGTCTTTCTGCCTTTGATAAAAGTTTGACCTACAGTGATACTGTCAACCGTCATGCAGTGGTCTTAAGCTGGTGGGTTATAAACCGTAATTGCATTGTACAGCTGTTTGGATGAACATAAGAGATACCTAATCATCAGTCAGATACTTCTTACATCTGTACATAGTCCATTCATCTGTTTCCCATTTTAAAACTATCCAAGAAATACCACCCCATCAATTAAGAAATGTGACATAGACATTTACATTACATTTAGGTGCATGATTATGGTCATGTAAATATAAGTGTTAATATAAATTTATAATTGAATTTTAATTTTAATTGAAGTCACATATAAATATTTTGTAAAATATAATTAGTTTTATGTAATTTTATTTTTGTAATGTAACCACTGGACTAGTGTGTAGTTGGATAGCTGTATATACTGCTCCAAATCTTCTTCTTTTTTTCCTCCATCAACACTAGCTTCTTTGTATCATGAATGTGATTGTATGTTCATTTTCCAATCTGTCAGCCTACAATGACAGTTTGTGGTGTTGTACTTGATGTTTGACCGATATGGGTTTTTGAAGGCTAAATCGGGTATCGTGGAAAGTTGGGTGGCTGATATTTAGCTGACAATGGTATTTCATGGTATAAAATGGTATTTCAATTAAGAATTCAGGGTTCAATGCTAATGATTTTTTTCTACTGGCCCAATTACTTGCTCTACCAACATTTTCCATGGCCCCACCAAAAAGAGAAAAAAAAGTTGATAGCTATTTCTTAGCCACACATTTTTAATAATGTGTCAAAAGTAACGTCTGTGAATCTAGAATTTAAATGCTTAAAAAATTTTAACAATATGTATAATGAGCAAAATTCAAAGTGTTAAGCAACCAAAAAGAGCAGTATAGAAAAGTATTTTATTGCAGTTCTAAAGTATTTAACAAAAGGTGGCTGACTTGCCAAACTCACTGCAAACTGTGCAAAACATCACTTTATTTTTTCATCATGCACTAAGCATGGTCCGTTAAAACATTCTGACTGTATGATAGCCTCTGATACTACTATAGCGGTTTCACAAAATCACGGTATCGTGATTACTGCTCTAACATGTATTCTTTTTAAATGTCTGGGTAAAAAACAAGAACTTTTTTTCTCCTTTGAAAACAGTATATTTGGTATATTGAAAGATTTATAATATTTTGGATGGTAAACATTCACTTCTGACTTCTACTGTCTTCGTAAGTTTCAAAAGCACAGATTTCTTTACAATTTAAAACGGCATTTTTTGATTTTTTTTCTGCTGGAGACTGTTATTTAAAAAATGAAATGTAAAAAATTAAAAATTAACAAAAAATCTTACACATACCTTAGGAACGCTATTACAGAAAATTTGGGCGGTTTTAAAACATTGATATATATATTTTTTTTTCTCCAAACCGCAAACCCAAAAAGAATCTTTTAACGGACCATGCTTAGTGCATGATGGAAAAAATAAAGTGATGTTACCTTGAAAACTGTTATCGTCCCATACCTATGATGTACCCATGGAAATTTCGGCTTTCCTAAAAGACATTAGAAACAGACATTTTCTTTTTAGCTTCATAATTTGATGTTGCCACTGTTGTTGTCTCTTCACTGTACTGGTTGTTACTAGGTAACGGTAAAAAAATAATGTGCTCACAACATCCAATCAGATAAGAGGAGCTGAAAAGCAATATGGTTTTTACCACATCACAGAGAAGGTAGCTATCAAAGGCTTAAAAGCACAAACTGATTCTCAATTCTAGGACTGAATTTGCACACAATTGACAAATAGTCGCAGGCAAATCAAATTTTTTGTTACAGCAGCACTGGCCTGATCAGGCCAGTAACGATCCAGTCTACTGTCTCTCGCGTCTTTCGTGCAGGCCCCGGGCCATCAGGCAGTCCTTATTGTTGAGCCCTATAGTTACATTTAAAATAATTAAAACTTAATTACATTTTTTTAAATAATAAAAAAAACATTAAATTTTAATTCATAAAGGTACTTCTACTTAAGAACAGTGGTTCTCAACTGGTTTGAGCATGGTCTCACATTTACCCTGGTTATTATATATAACATATATTGAAAGATTATTGCCAATAATGAAAAGCATTAAATGGTAGTCCTAAACTAGCTGTAGTGGTATGAGACCACACATTTATGTAAAAGCAACTTGCGTGCTGGTAGGGCTGGGTGATTTGGCAAAAAAAAAAATCTAGTTTGACCGATTTCGATTTTTTTATTTTTATTTTTTAACTTTATTTATTTATTTTTGTGTTACTAGTCTTCTCAAAACATTACAAAAACATGACTTAAGTAACATTCTCTTTAAAAGTGACTCGAAAAACCATCTGGTTAAGGAACATTGTATTTTTAATGGCCATGTCATACAAAAATCGGTCAAGGTGTAAATAAATGTAAACTAATTAATGCGTTAAATAGCGTTGCTGAAGATTTGAATAAGAAATATTTGAATATACAGAGGTATTTTTTGCAAGTTTTGCTGAGCCTAGGAAAGATTGGCTGTCAGCTCGGCTTTGACTTGGTCTTCTTCTGATTGAATGACAGGTTGTAAAGCTGCTGCCTTTTTCCTAAAGATACAGTGGAAGTAAAGGACTGAACATTGAAACTGTACAGCCTTATTTAACCCAATGTATGAAGTTGTGGACGAATAGCAGGAACAAATACAAGTACCGGATGTGTGTCTAATATAAAATAATATATTTAATCTATTTTTCTTTTTTCCCCCTTTTAAATACTAATCATTTGATGCCTTTTGCTCCACTCTCTGTATTATCTGTCTGGTTTTCATCTAGGTCTGCTAAATGACGTCATGGGGGCTGGTACTTTCACTTTCACTGCTACAGGCCCTCACCTCTGCTTGTGTTCAAACCAAAAGATCGGCGCGGTTTTTCACATGCCAGGGTTTTAAGTTCTTCATACATGTTGAGATCGAGTTGATGAGGCAATGTCTGGACAATCCACACAGACGTGACTCAGACTAATGCAACAAGTAACATCCTACATGACTTCGCTTTAACAGGCAGTCAAGAAGGTCGCACACCAGAAGCGTCGCGACATGGCGCTCTGTGGCGCGGCTGAAATATGAACTGCATCGTGAATCGTGGCTGGGCGGTGCCGGTGTGTGTATAGAAACCGGTTTAGAATTCTAAAATCCATGGCGCTGCGTGGTGCTGCGCGGGGCATTGCAGAGAGGTGCTTCTGGTGTGCTTCCTGCTTCATACAGAGTGAACCAAAGCGCATTGGTGCCATTATAATGTTATATTTAATAAAATTAATAATATTAATATTATTAATATTAATGTTATACTAAATAAAAATAAAAAATAAAAAAGTCGCGATTTCTCGATTAAATATAAAATTAAATCGTCGTCAAAACGTAAATTTGAATTAATCGGAAAAATCACCCAGCCCTACGTGCTGGTATATCTTTTGCTCTTTATTTAAAATAAAGTGATGGACACTGTCCACTGGAGGATTTGGGCATGCTGTGAGCATAGTAACGTTTGACAGGCCAGGCAAAGTTTATTTTTCCTTTGGTGAGAGTCATTTTATTTTGTAGCAAATAATCTTGTGCTTGTTTACCTGGCATGCCATTTCAGCAACATGCAGTACATTCATGTGATGTGCTTCTGAAAGTGGGATGTCTTTACAGTAGGTGCTTGAGCACCGGTTGCGGCTCACTGCCTCCGCTTTGCCACAGAAACTGCTTGCTTTTTTGCTGATTTCCAGTTTTCTCTTATTGAAAAGAACTAGTCCCTTATGACTAATGCATCTTGTACAGTAAATCTTTTTCTCATTCATAAGAAACATGAACAGCAGCTTTCACACCTCTTTCAAAATACACCGGTGCATCACAAAAACACTGTCACTCATGACCCACTTAGGATATATCTGTGACCAAATATCACTCCTTTATTCGTGGGTCTCTAACTGGATTCCTGGAGGGCCACAGCTCTGCACTTTTGCTCCAACCCTAATCAAAAACACCTGATCCAAATAATCAACGTGTTTCAGACTACTAGAGACTGTTAAGCAGGTGCGAGTTTGAAGTGGTTGGAGCCAAAACCTGCAGAGTTATGGCCCTCCAGGAATTGAGTTTGAGACCACTGGCTTTAATAGATCTTTACAGATGAACTATTATTTAATACAAATGTAGTGTAAATAAACTCAATAGGACAAGCCGTATTCTTCAAAGTTTGTGTGCTTTGGATTTTTTGTTTTTTTAAATTTCCAAATAAAGACAAAGTAACACTCGTTTTACTTATGATAAATAAACATGAATAGAACGGTGGACGGTATAAAGCCCAAAATAATTTAAATTTACTGAATGGAAAGATGACCAAGCAAAAGGGAGAATATGAGCACAGTGTGCTATGCTCCTATCTGCGCCGTCAAAATAAAAGCCTTGGTCTCATTGACCAAACATAACATATCAGCCGATGCTGATACTTGAAAAATTGCACACATCAGCTGATACCACCGCTTGCAGTTCATTTTATCTGAGATTTTAATTGAAAAATCAAGTACAGCATGTGTACTTAACTGAAACCCAAATGGGAGAGGTCTTAACCTAATGTGTTCTGCATATTTAAGTCCATAATGGTAAATGGCTAAAATTAACTTCTGCTTTTTTGTGTCTTGTTTTACTTAGGCTGCCCCCTGGCACAGTGGTAGGAGGGTGGTGTGGAGCTGGCCTCAGCACCGGGAGAGGCCCCCTCGCCCGCCCCCTCCCAGCGCTGCATGGCTGCAATGGCGCCCGCTCTGACCGACGCACCGGCCGAAGCTCACCGCATACGCTTCAAACTGGCTCCGCCTTCCTCCACCCTCTCCCCAAGCGGCGTGGAGGGAAGCGGTACCACCAATCACATTCTTGTTTCTAGTAACGGCACCGTCAAGCGCAAAGCTTCAGAGGAGCGCCCCTCCCGTGGGGCTGGCCCCTGCAAGCCCCTTGTTACCTCATATCACTGTTCAGATGACAAATTGCAAGGTGTTTTACTGCAGACGCACAGCATCCTACCAAGCCTCATACCACGCAAACACCAGGCTTTAGAGCTGTCCGAGGAGCAGCTTAAGAGCATCATGAGTGCCGGTGGAGGAGGCGGACCCACTGTCCAAAGCCCCACTGTCAATGGCGTGGCAAAGAAAGTGACTAAACCCTCTGACCGAGACAATGCGGTGACCTTAAATGGTGGCCAACATAACGTCAAGCAGGATTTGTCAAATCAGGCTCAAATTGTCAACTCCACTAGGGGAATGACAAGGAACGGGCCACATCGAGATGGTGTGGAGCAGCAACAGCCATCAACGTGTGAGTCCCAGAACTGTCCCAGCAACGGAGAACCTCCTGCAACTTCTCCAGCCTCAGTTTCATCTTTCACAGAAGACAAAGTCTCAGACTGTCAGCCACTGGTTAGTGAAGATACGTTGCTGCACTTGCATGGGATCCAGCAGGTCCCTTTAGATGGCTTTGGAACAGAACTAAGCGACCGTACCCAGCACAGCCAGAGCAGACAGGGAGAGATCGAGGCACGATTACGGAGACTACGCAAACGGCTTCAGGTAGTGCAGGCCAAGCAGGTGGAGCGGCACGTACAGCAACAGTTGGGTGGACTACTTGAGAGCACACTAGGCGCTCTGGATGCCAGACGGCCGAGGAGTCGATATGGTGATAATGGCATCACTCCTCAGGAGAGGGACGAACTGGGACGATTCCTGAAGGGTGGATCCATGCCAGCGGAGTTGGAACGACTATCCTTAAGTTGCACCACCAACCTGCGATCCGCTGAATTCGCATTTGATTCAGACGCCACAGAAAGCAGCTCAGGAGGAGACACTGATGTAGATGAAGATGAGTTGGCCCGGGTTGACATTGAGCAACGCCACATTCCTCTGTGAGTACCAGCCTTGATTATTCTTCTGATGTTTTGAGGATGGAGTAATGGATGATGTCTGATAAATACCGGTGCAGTCTGAGTGATGCGGTTTCATGAAAGCATTGATTGTTCTACAGTTGATGAATTTTGATGTGCAGATGATTGTTACTCAGTAAGTGGCTGGTCCTTATGTCTGTGCACATTTTAAAGGGTAGATTAGTTCTCTACAGTTTAAGATCGCATTGATTTCTTTTGCTACAAAGTAAATTTCTTGATTATGAAGGTATGGGTTCATCTCTTGTTTATCATGGGTTTATCTCATATCCAAGGACACACACCCCACACACTTTCTAACATATATCAAGCCTTACCAAGGGCTGTGCCTTGCGTAATGCACTCAAATGTCAAAGGATTCTTCTTGAGAGGCAGTGAGTCAGTTTCTTAAATCCCTACACAGACTTTCTCAATCAAATCTTGGGGAGGTTTTGCCCATCCCAGCCTTCAGGAAAGAACTCACTGGGCAAATAAAGGGCAAAGATAAGATGCTGTTTACCTTGTACATCTTTTGGTGATTGTTTTAGGTTTATTTGTCCTAGCTAGTAATCCTCTGCATGATTATTGATCAAAGCATTGAGACTAAGTAGAGCTGCAATTTCCTCTTTGTCCTAAATTTGTATTTTTGCACATTAATCATCAACTCTATCACAACTTTTGCTGCGTCATTCTAGTTGAAGAGACAGTCCTTAGTCAGAAATGTTTTTCTTTTCTTTTTTTTTTTATACTAAGACTGCTCCATGAGGGATGAACCTACATACAGTAAAGTCACATGACTATTGCACAAGGACAAATAGGCTTACTTGTAGATTATGTGATAAACATAGTAAGGTGTGTTGGTGTTTACTTTTTTTAATCAAAACTTTGACTTCCATATATTCATAGATGCATCGTTTAGTGTGTGTTTGGTTCTTAGTTGAGATTTGAACAGATTGTGTTGTCGTGTTGAGCATCTCATGACGGCATGTTGTAGCTGCATGCAAGGTCTTTTTATTAATAGGTAATTTCATGCTGCGTAATCAACCATTAAAGCCAGTGTCTTGGCTAACTGATAGGTCACTTGAGCACAGTCTAAAGCAAAATAGTGGTACACGGTGAGTCATTTGTGTGTATTTTTGTTTTGGTTCATAGGTGGTAAAGAGAGTTGACTTTCCCAGAAGTATCAGACAGATGAATTCCATCCGATTTGATATGGTTGTTCGGGCTGGGCAATTAATTGAAAAGTAATTGACATCGACAAACAGAACCTATAATCGATCTAATTTTTCTGTGTCGATTCTTTCAATTACTTTCCCTACGTGTCACGTGACCACGCTAAGTTAAAGGCGGTGGCTGATCTCTGGTCAAGTAGGACAATAGATTCATTTTAGAGCCTTATTTTGCACTACATTGACGATGATTGGAAGCTGCGCCAGAGATGCCTTAAGACGCCAAATAAAACTCATCTGTGAACCTATAAGGGCAAAAATAATAATTGTTCATTAATCTTAATCAAGTTAAAATGTTCAATTAATCAAGATTTTAATTGTTATTAAATTATGTTAAGATGAGTAAGTTTGAGATTTTAAGTTGTTAATGTTTCTGTTTGGTAGATTTGAGCATTCTTGGCCTCGCAGTTTTGCAGATTTTTAGTGCAATTTTATTATTTTTTTTTATTTATTTATTTATTTTTTTACAACTCGTGTTCTGCGTCCTGATTGGCTGTAGACTGTTGTCAACCAATCTCCTCTGTGTCTGCTTACACTACAGAATGTGTACAGCTTGCAAATTTAACATGCATATTTGCAGTCGCTATCAGTGTGGGTTTCAGCAAGGATGCAAAAAAGGATTGTAACTGTCCGCAGCTAGACCATCATAAAGGGGGTCTCACACCAGATGCGCACACGTCTTCTAACACACCGGATATTTCTGCCGCGCCTCTAGACCGGCATCTGATTATTTAATTTTAAAAACTTGCAAATGTGCGACGCTGCCGATGTGCAAACACTTAAGGATGGAGTCTGATATAGCTTTGGTGGGGCATGGACTGTGGAAAAAAACATTACGCTGGATGCCAGCATTATCCGCACAAAAGCTAAAAGGTTTTAACCTTTTGCTGACAGCGTTGAATGTTTGCGCCTGACAACAGGTTTTGATCTTTGGTTTCTGTCTATAATACTGGACTTTTGAATGTTTTGAGAGTGTTTAAACGAGAGAAAAGTGTGAACATCTTAATGCCTGTCTGAGAAAAGTGTAAATAGAGTGTAGTGAGGGGTTGTACAGCCTTAAAACATCTATAATAATTGTAAAAAATAAAGCTAACTACTTCGCAGATTTTGCCATTTGCGGGTTATTTCTACAACGTAACTCCCCCTATTAATAAGAGACCACTGTATTTTTAAATATGACTGATGTTTTTTATGCTTTCCCCTAGAGTTCAGTCACTGCTAATAATTAACCCAGTTAGCCGAAGGTGGTCCGTATAGTGTTTGGATGCATTTCCCTCCTTCAATAAATCCTCAGTAAATAACAAAGTTTCCATGAAGACCAGCCTCAGCACACAAGCGTAACCTCATTTTTGTATCTTGCTAGTGTGTACCATTAGCTAACACTTAGCTTTTATGCATTTATCAAATGGCAGCATTCATTGTTTTTGTGCTGTAATCCTGTTAGCTAGAACCGGTTTCAATAAAAGGGAATAATTGAACTGGTTGAACATCAGTTGTGTGTTCATGTCATGCAGGGTTTTGTTCAAGACTCTTAAAAGCTTCTGACATTTACCCACCCAGATGTTAGAACTACTGTGGACCACTGAAAGAGACATTATGAATACTGTTGTAGACTATGACTTGTTTTTATAAGTCTTTTTAAAGGCTTGTTATGGCTGGGCGATTTGGCCTAAAATCAAAATCTTAATTAATTGACATGCAACATGTAGTTGCATTTTTTTTTTTTGAGAGGTTCGTAGGTATGCGACCATGCTTGTGTGCTCGACGCAGAAGTATAAATCAGCTTAAAAGAGTGGGGTAACCTGACTTCATACGTGGTAGGGAAATTAATCGAAAAAATGTACTTAAAAAAGATTAGATTTTTGGTTCTGAAGGTCGATTTCGATTACTTTGATTAATTGCCCAGCCCTAAGGCAATTCATACATTTCAAACTGATCGCAACATAAAGCTCAGTTGCAATCTCTTAAATCATTAAATTAGGCATGAGACGCTGATTGGCAGATAATCTGGATGTTTTGATTAACTTAAAAATGTAAAAATATATGATAAAGCTTTACGCTGCTACTCTAATTCTTTCTTTAATTATGCACTGACAGCCCATAAAACGTATTATCATAGAGGCTTGTACTTTTGCGTATGTCACTTTATTTTAAGTGAGAGATAAATAAATTTAAGTAACATTATTTGGCACTTGTGCTTTGTCTCCCAAAGAGACCATAATCTTCTGTATATGTATGTATAGATAATGTATAGATAATGAAAATCTACTGAAATATGAAAGAATTCAAGCCACACTTCTCATCATATAACATAAAACTCCTTACTCGCATAACCCCTTAAACCATTTGAAAAGCATTTTGTCTTTTACTATTATCAAAGTTTCCCCATCTGCGTGGTTTCTGGTTTTACCGGTCAACCTTCTAGGTCACATAGCAAGCTTGTCAAGTTTTTTGTTTTTTTTTGGTTCCCTCTCTAATTCATGTATATATTTTTTCACTTTCATAATGTTTTTTTCTTCTTCTTGTGTTCTTGTTTCACTAATTCAAAAGGCAATGACATTTCGATGTTTCAATTCTGATTTTTCATGTTTCATTCTCATGCTGTTGAGAACTGTAAGCAAACATCTACACAAGGCGTAGCCTTCGTTTACTTGCCCTTATGTAGTTTAAAACCTATATAGATATTTTTTCTTTTGTGTCACAAAAGGGCCTAAAAACTTTTCTTGTATGTAGAACTCTCACTTTATTCAGAATACCTTTTTTTGTGTTTTGCAGATGACATGGGTGTGGTTATGAATTATGATTATTGTTATCACAAATCAGTGATTATGGGTGATTTGGGTAAACTAAAGTAGGGCTGCACAATATATTGTTTCAGCATCTATATCGCAAATGTGTGCATCCACTATAATGACATTGCAGGATGTGCGATTTTGAGTTAGGATTATAATTAACTAAAAATTCACAGTTTAGTACACATGATTTGTTGTCATTGTGAATTTCAACCATACTCTATTAGTGTAAATTTTATTTTTACTTAGATGTGTTTTCAAAGTCTGTGACTAAGATTTAAAGCAAATTTATGCCTTTTGGGAACAAGAAATTATAAAGTTTGCCGTTTTGACAGATTAATTGTTTAATTCTTTATCAAATGAACCCTATCAGTGTTATTTCATATTTGATTATTGATTTTTTTTTTTCTTTACCTCTGTGTTGTAATATTCCAGCAAAACCCATAAAGCACTGTTTATTTAGTTTTTATCTGTGCTTTAATTTTTTAATTGCGTATATATTTGGATATTTTATGCTGATGTACTTTCCTACAAAGTCATCCCAATCAATGTAAAATTGTAAATTCTTCCTAAATAGTTACTTAAGTACTATTTTGAGATTATATTCATATCACTATATATATCGCAGAAATACAAAATATTGTAATGTCAGTTTTTACCAATATTGTCCAGCCCTAAACTGGTGTCATAAAACTTTAAACAGACAAATCTCTATTGGAGTTTATTGTCATTCTACTCTGCGTTTTTCAATTTTTCTTGCAATTTTTCTCCATTTTCTTTTCTTGCTTTTTTCTCATGGCCATTGATATCCTCATTTGCACTCTTAAATTCCTATGGAAACCATTTTGTAATATCCAAATGACATCTTGACCAAATGTGACCAAGGTAAGCCAGTTTGAACTGGACTTCTTAAGCTCTGCTTGCTCTTCGCTAGGGCTGTGCGAATTGGGGAAAATATCTATTT